ACTCAAAAAAAAAAAAAAAAAAAAATTCTGGATCCTTTATTTCTTCTTCCCCTAGAGTTTCTTTGTTGTTCTTTCCTGTTTTCTTCCCAGGGTATCCCCGAGTAAGGAAGACTGCCATGAAATCCTGAAATCATTGAAATAACATTTGAGATATTAAATTCTGTAAATACACAGCATCATGCAAATGAATAAGCAGTTTATTAAAAGTTCACACTACAAAATATTACGCAGCTGTTAAAAAATGAGCTCATTCATACCTTGAAAAATGCTCTCAATATACATTTTCAGTGAAAAATTATGATCCTACTTCTACAGGGAAAATGCTATAATGTATGTTTGTATTTATCTAAGTACATACAATGCTTAGATAAGGATGTGTATGTCTACTTCAGGAAGTGGGGGATGGGGAAGGTGACCAGTAATTTTTTTCTTTAGACACACTGTATTTGTAAATTATTACAAGCATCATTTTGAAATTAAAAATGAGACTATTCAGTTAATACCACTTCTAGGTATTTAACCAATAGAAATACATACACATGTTCATCAAAAACTGTACTAGAATATTTAAAGCAGCACCATCCATGAGAGTCTAAAACTGGAAACTACCCAACCCTCTCTGCTCTCTCAGCCCTAGTACCACTCTGGTCTCTGTCAGATGAGTACCATCAACAGTAGAATGTTTAAATAAATTGTGGTATATTCACAATAAAATATTTTGTAGCAGTGAGAGGAATGGTTTACATTATACACATTATGGTTGAATCTCACCAACATACTGTAGAGTGAACTAAATCAGAAACAAAAAGGTATATGTATGATTATATTTGCATAAAGGGCATACTGTATAATTATATTTACATAAATACAAAGTAGGTAAAACTAAAATTTAATATTAAAACTCAAAATAATATTTACCCTTGGGCAAGGTAGTGACTGAAAAGGAAACTTCTGGGTTACTGATAATGCTCTCTTAATGAATTTAGGTGCTGGTCTAAGGATATGGTCAGTTTGTAAAAATGTATCAAGCTGTACATTTATGATGTGTTGATATATAAGCACACATGCAAATAGTATACTTTAATAAAGTATTACAAATAGTATTTTAGTTCTAGACGTGGTTAATTAGATATCCTGAATCATACTGCTGATGCAAATTATATACATATATATAAAATATATGCATGTATAAAATATTATGAATTCATCAATGGGATGATACAAAAGTAAGGAATAAGCAAAGACAAAAACAAACTAAAACCAAGAAACACTAAAGAAAGCAAACACAAAAGCTGTCTTCCACCATGGCGTTTCGATAAGATCCTGGAGAATGTATATAGGGAGTGACTCTACGGGCTTTCCTGTCAAGGATATTAAGATCATACTCACATAAAGGTCGAAATTTAAAAGGACAACCTGAGCCGGGCTCAGAGGCTCAGCATGTAATCCCGCGCCTTGGGAGGCTGAGGTGAGGGGATTGCCTGAGCCCGCGGGTTCGAGACCCGCCTGGGCAACTTGGCGAGACCTCATCTCCACAATAAATAAAAAATCAGCCGGGCATGGTAACGCGAGCCTGTAGTTCCAGCTGCTTGGAAGGCTGAGGCGGAAGGATCGCCGGAGCCCAGCAGGTCGAGGCTGCGGTGGCCGGGAGCGGCCACTGCACTCCAGTCTGGGCGACGGAGTGAGACTCCAACTCAAAAAAAATAAATAAATAAAAATAAAATGAAAGGACAACCTGCACAAAAGCTCAGACACCAAAGAGGTATTCCTACAGGGTAAGGGTAAATAAGAAATAAGTTGTACAATATAGAAGATTTCGGTGCAATTTGCTTGTCTTAACCCTGCTGGAGGGTTAGGAGAAAAACACCTCTGAGAATAAGTAACTACAAATCAGTTCCCCACACAGGATTGCAATATGAATTCAGGCTACCTCTGTGAATTGAAAAACTCTAAAAATTTAATTTGAGATGGCCTCAGTTTAGTAATGTTTCCAGATGGAAGATGCACACAAATATCTTTTTCAGAATGATTTAACTTCAGAGCATCTAGAACGAATTTCTACAGAAAAAAAAAAATCCACACAAAAGCAGAACCTCATACTAATAATTTTTAAATCACATAACACTCAAGGAAATAAAGCACCAAGAATGAGAGCCATCACCACAGGAGATATCAGAAATAGGCAGAATTCATATATTGTATTTAATAGTCATAGAACATAAAATAACCATGCTTAATACATTTGGAAAATAAAGGAGAAACTTAAAAACTTCAATAGAAAATAAGTATATTTATAAAAAGAATCAAATAGAACAAAAAAATTAAAAATAGAATAGATGGAATATAATACTTCAAAATAAAAATTCATTGAAGAGACTAAATAGGAGATTAAACAAAGTTGAAGAAAAAATTATTGACCTGCATCTGAAGTAAAGAAAACTATTCATTTAAAAGTCAAAAGTTGCAAGAGGATAGAAGATCTGGAGGGCATAGCAAGAAGATCTAACATAAATCTGATCTGAGCTCCAAATAGATATAATAGAAAAGCTATAGAAGAGTTATTATTGGAAGAAATGATTGCTATAAAATTTCCAGAGTTCTTGAAAAACACCAATCCTCAGATCCAGGAAGCCTAACAGATCCAAACAAGGTAAATAAGAAGAAATAATCATCTAGATATATGACAGTGAACTAGACAACAGAGGACACCATATGCATCTCATTTGGTGCAGCATACACAATTTATTTTTATTTTAGATTCAGGAGTTACACAGGGGTATTCATTACATGGGCATATTATGTAGTGGTGGGGATTGGGTTCAGGTGTCCCATTCCCCAAATTGTGAACATTGTGCCCCATAAGTCATTTCTGAATCCTGACCCCTTTATTGGTGTCCCCACTGTCCATTCTTTTCACATTTGTGACCCCTTAGCTCCCACATATGAGGAAAACATGTAGTGTATGGTTTTCTGTTTCTGAGTCAGTTAACTTAGGATGATCATCTCCATTTGCATCCATGTTGTTGTAAAGGACATGATTTCATTCTTTTTTATAGCTGCTAGTATTCCATGGTGTACATTTACCACTTTCATTGTCCACTGATTGATTCCACA